TTTTATATTAATTGAAATATCATGATTTATTTGAGGATTTCTCTGTTAAACAGAATTGGTGGGGTTGTGCATTGGTACTGATACATGGTGATTTTTAAAGTTTTTTTAAGTTTTATTTATTTTTTTAAAGGCAGAGTTACGGGGCGGGGGAGAGAGAGAAAGAGAGTGAGTGAGTGAGCAAGCTTCCATCCACTGGCTCACACCCCGGATGGCTGCAAAGGCTGGAGCTGAGCAAATCCAAAGGAAGCCTGGAGCAGGAGGTCTCTCATGTGGGTTAATGGGCCCAAAGACTTGGGCCATCTTCCACTGCTTTCCCAGGCTCATTAACAGGGAGCTGGATAGGAAGTGGAGCAACTGGGAATGAACTGGCATCCATAGTGACTTCACTGGCTACGCCACAGCACTGGCACCTTTAATGGTTTTTGATAAAAGATATGGTGATGGTAATGTCCTAAACATTACTAAAACTATATTGTTCTGCCTAATTTACATTTAACCAACAAGTCAATTAACCACAAACTGGTTTTGAGGAACCCAAAGAATCTCATTTATTACGAATGTGGTTGCTAGACCCAGGAACTAGAAATATTTTTAGATTATATTAAAAAGTCTAATTTTCACTAAATTCTAAATAGTTAAAAGTCTAGAAATTAAATTAATATTTTAAGATGTGACAGCACATGTTGAGCCCATAATCAAACATATGCATATTCAAGGCAAAGAGATGAATAACTTTCCTTCTATTGTGGTTCAGCTTATTCAACTCACACATTTTTTTTAAATAATTTATCTCTAACTTCTAAAAATATGGCCTTTATTCTTTGATCTTAATCCCATTTTTCATTCATAGGGAAGTGATATTTTTATGGGCCAGTGAAGCTTATATACCATTGAGTGACATTTAGATTCTGTAGTTATTTTCATGTGAGGAGAATTAATCTCTTCAAGAGGGAAAGTCACAGCCCTTCCCTCTACTGCTGGGCCCATCATTGGAAATCTCCAGGTTCCACTTGCTTCAGAAAGAGCATAGCCTTCAACAGAGTTTTAAAATTCAAAATAGGAACCCTTTGATTCAGAGTTAGTGTAAACGTTTTTACTTGAACACCCTTTATGCTGTTTTGTTACTAATAACTAACAAATATATGCTTTTGCTGTTTTGCTCTACATTACTTTGTAAGGGAAAAATTGGTGTTGTTTTTCTCATAGGATTATGAAAGTATTAAATGCAATTGTATTTGAGAAAATTATTTACAATTTTTGCAATTGTAAACAAATCAAAAAATAATCTAATATATTAATGTAAAGTGACTTAGAGCTTTTACATTTCTTTTTTGTGCAGTAGAGTGCTCTGACTTTCTTCCTTCTTCAGGCAGTGGCCCACGTGCTGCTTATATGTCCAGTTTTTCCCTTTGTCTGCCATTCTGCTTTCTATTCCCTTTTCCCCTTGAAGCCTTATTCCTTGGCTCCTCTGCAACATGTCTATTGCTGATGCCTGAACACATGAAATATAAACAGCACTAGGCATGATTGCAGGGAGGGTTCTTTTTCTTTTTTAAAATCTGACAAAGGCCAATAACAGATAGTAAATTGCTGCAAAAAATGTTCATTTAGTCAACGGTTGGTAATTGGGACTGGGTTTGCCCTCATGGACTTGTTTCAGATTTCCATGGTGCAGAGGCCACTATTCCAATTGGAATTAAATTGGCATTGAGCTCAGGAGTCCTGTGCCATGGGGACCCCCGGGATCACTTTGCCTGTTTACTTTTTGGTGTCAGTTTTATAACTGTGATCACTAAGCTCTGTTGGAAATTTTAGTATAACTGAGGTGGCAATATTTAAAAAAAGGGAAGGGAGAAAGAGAGCAAAGGAAAAGGTTCTGTTTTGGTGGTGAAAATCCCAAAGGAAACTCAAATTCAACATGAAACACATTTGCTTGTTAGTATGCAGTGCTTAGACAAATGACAGCAGTAGGATGTTTGAGGCAAAGAGCGGAAGGAGATGATGGACATAGGCCTAATCATTAAAGCAGGAGACAAAAGCAGCCGAACAGCAGAGTGGTCCTCTGTTCCTGACAGTTGAATACATCAGGTTACACAAATTACAGGCTTTTACTGAGAGGATTTTGGAGCAAGATTAAGGTTTTAATATGAATTCCTCCTGGTGACAATTATCAGTTTGAAGGAACTGTATTACATATTGCGGAAAGAGGGCACAGATTTCAGGTCACTGAATGTTCAGTCTTGGAGCTGTGCTTGAACCATCCTGTGTAGCAAAATGCACGCCTGATTTAAGCGACAAAAACAGACACAGGCATTTTCAAGAAAGAAAGTGGAGGTGTGAACAGCTCTTGACTTTCATTTTGCATGGGTATCAGGAAAAAAACAGGTAACCCCAAGAAACACAAGCAACATATTCTATTTACTTGTGTCCTTTAAAACATGACTATACTTCATATTTTTGAAGCAAGGGAATTTTTTTACATTGCTAACTCCTGCAGCTTCTCCAAATGACAAAAATAATCAACTCTTTTCTTCAGTTATTAGAAAATTCTTTGATACACAAAATATATGGCATACCATGCAATGTTTTGTTACATGTATATATGGTATATTCAAAATCCTTCTAACTTTTTACAAAAATTCCCTTGGTTTTAGTGATTAAGCCAATGTGGAACTGACCTATTGATTTCTTTGTTGTGATTGTTCTATGGCTTTAAAGTTTGCTTTGTAGCATTTGATATTTTGTTTACTAATAGTTTAATAGTGTATCTGTACCTTACAAAGTGACTGGTGAGAGAAAAAGTGTTATCTGCTTGGGAAAATGGAAAAACTAGAAAATGCAGAGCCTCGTAGCTCGTGGTTTTTTTTTTTTTTTTTTTTTTTTTTTTCATTGAAGTACAAAAAAGAATGGGTTTAGTGGAAAGAAAAAATATTAGTAAATAAATACCAGGATGCTTATAAATGATGTTGGAGGGCTGTGTGTGTGTGTGTGTGTGAGAGAGAGAGAGAGAGAGTGAGAGAGAGATTAATTTTATAAGGATGTAGTTGGTTTAAATACACTTGGCTTCAAGGAACCCAGAAATCTATTCTTGTGTTGAGACTTTGTTCTAAAACTTTCCTTTGTATTCTTTATGTTTAGTTGGTTCCTTTTCTTTTCTTTTTTTTTTTCTTATTTATTTGAGAGGTAGAGTTACAGACAGTGAGAGAGAGACAGACAGAAAGGTCTGCCCTCTATTGGTTCACTCCCCAAATGGCTGCTACCGCCGGCGCTGCACCAATCCGAAGGCAGGAGCCAGGTACTTCTCCTGGTCTCCGATGCGGGTGAAGGGCCCAAGGACTTGGGCCATCCTCCACTGCACTCCCTGGCCACAACAGAGAGCTGGACTGGAAGAGGAGCAACCAGGACTATAACCCGGAGCCCATATGGGATGCCAGTGCCGCAGGCCAAGGATTAACCAGGTGAGCCATAGTGCCGGCCCAGGTGGTTCCTTTTCTTTTCAAGTTGGTGTCTTATAAAACCTTCCCACTTTGTTAGTATTTTCCTGCACAGATCCATTCATGTGATTATGTTTGGTGTTCATTTTAAAATTTAAATTGAAGGTGGACCAAGGAGCATTTGCTTTTAGCCTTTGGTAATGGGGCCTCAGTTACATTTCCCACAAGGTTTCAGACCCTAATGGCTCATGTTCTGTCACTTGAACAACTATGAGCCAACCTGCATCGGGTAAAAACTGTGTCTATAATAATGACACTCATGGCTCAGTGGCAAGGGCTACTGTAACTGATGGCAGTCAACTTTGTGGCTTCCCTTACTACTTCCTCACAAATAACACACTGGAAACACGAAACAAGTCTGGTTTGGATATCACACAGCACCACCTGTAGCCGGAGAGGGCTTCTTTGTACCTTTGGGCAGAACCCAGTCTGGCTTTGTGCATTCAAGCTCTCCGGAAAACTGCACAGCTGTGGCATATGCATTCTTCGGTCTCTCTGAAGTGGGGCAGTTCCCACTTGGGCAGGAACAAATCACAGCCGGAGCCAGTTTCCAGGCTCAGCCAAAGAAGCATAGGAGGTGCTAACATCTGTGAGAAATGTGCTTGGTACCTTTGCACGTTTCCTAAACCACCACTATTGACAGAGAAATAAGAGCCCTGGCTGAGACAGTGAAGGTTACATGATGCAACAGCAGTTGAAACAAGGCTTGAAGCAGAATGACCCATCAAAGATTCAGTCCAGTTGTTGGCTGAGCTCCTTGGGGGCTTTGAGGCTGAGTGTCTCCTGTGCTGGAGACGCCAGGCATCAGGTGGGGCTATGCAGAATACGAGCAGGGAAGGAGGAAAAGTCAGAACCCCATAGTGGTCAAGAAGGCTTAGCTAAACATACGGGACTTTCCTGGGGTCTGCTGGAAATATTTGGGAGTGAGGGCAGGTGACCAAGGGTACTGCATGTCTGGGAATAATGAATGAGTCTTAGAGTCAAACAATGCTGCAATTATTTTTTAGTGCAACTAATTTTACCCTTGCCTTCCGCATTTCAGTTCCTTTCACATCTGTCTCTCAGATTGGAGAGACCTAGTGAAATGTGTGACAATCATGACAACATCGATCATCTGACACTACTCATATTTTGGGTGGGACTGGCACAAAATTTCTTGCAATTGAGTTGCATCTTCAGGAAGACTGGGGAGAAAAACTGCTGCTTTGAAGTTTTCAATTTCTCACATATGACTCATTTTCTGCTTTTATTACTACACTGGAGTCTAAACAAATATATTCCGGAATAACCTGTTAGATATTTTGAAATGTTTGAAAGCACATTGCTTTGCAATTTTGGTGAAATTTAAGTACAAAAGGGCAAAAAAACATATTCACTATTTTTTCATCCAAAGGATGGTCCAATGCTAAGAAATGCCTTAAGAACTTCATCTTTAGGCAATTTTTGTTTATTTGATCCATATAAGCATAAAGGCAGTTTTTAAAAATCTTTTCTTCAGACATTATGGTTTTGCTGAGCCTAAATATACTAAAATATTCTTTGTTAATTCAAAAATTGTGTAAGATAACAAAATTATTACTTGGAGAAGACATTATAATTTTGCCATAAATGCAGGGCAAGAATTAACTGATTATCCTCACTGTTTTCTGGGAACTGTTTCTCTTGACAAGGGAAGAACAAATATTAGATAGACAGTTGGATTGTTTGCCTTTTTGGCTGAAGAACAAGCGCTAATGTCTCACAGGAGGCTGAGCAATGTTCACAAGCCATCCACAGTATGATTTATTTTTATGACTTACTGACATATGTTATGGGCAGTAGAACGGGATGCCTTCTTTTTTCCCTGTGGCTTGTTAAGTATTTAAATGAGCAGACAGAACCATGCATCTCTTTCTTCCAGGAGCCCTGTGGGTCATGCTTTTTCATCTTTCTCCTTATTGAAATAGACAAGAATGGAAATGTTTGCAAATGGGGCTTTCTTCCTAATTTAGCGAGGTTCAGGAAAGTGCTAACTTCTTTCCATGTATGGTCTGAAAATGCTATTTACCTACTGAAGTCTTTCCAGGAACACAGGCACAGTAAAAGTCGGTGATCTTTACTTCCGCTACCTACAATCCCGTGCTGTCATTCTCTTCTCTTCTATCCGTGTTGTAAGTTGGTGACTTTCCTGTTGTAGAACGTAAGAATTAGGAAGAAAAAAAATAATGAAATCATGGAGAAGAAAATGTTCCCAAGTGAGTCAGTGTCAATTAATGGGGGTACTTGATGCAAAAACCACATCAGCACCAATTTTGTCATTTAAGAATTTTAAGATCAGAAGCAATTACATTCAATAGCACCTTGTTTTTATGTGTCTACCCTTCATAGCCTTGGCGAGTAAGCCGGGTTGGACCATAATTTACACTGACATCTAATTTCAGTGGATCTGCAAGCAATCTAACAGAAGATGGAGGTACTGAGAGGAGAGGAGTCCAACTTTATCACTGCAGACATAAAGATTCATTATTATTGCCAATTTCAAAAAGTGAACCTTTTAAATATCCATGCTTCCCCCCTCTGTTTTACATATCTCATTACTTGAATTAATTTATATTTTAGGCAAATGATTTCTGCTTAAAACTAGATGATTAAACACTTTAGCTGGTTACAAAAAGCCCTTAATGCGGTATCTGCTCTAGTTACAGATTTTTCCAATGTAGAGAATTTGCTGCTGAAAGAACAACTACGAAGACCTTTTTAAAAAAGTGTAGTCACCACAGAGGTTCTGTTTTGTGTCTGCTTGGGGTGTCTGCCTCACTTACTGCAATTTCCTCTCTCTGAGTACTACAACCACACATGCATGAAACCCTCCAAAGGCCATCCTGGGTCTGTGATCCATGCTTCCTGGCCATAGTCTGTAACAGTTGACTCAGAGAAGTCTCATTGGATCCCTTCTCTGGGAAAATTTTAGTCCTTTTAAATTAGTGGTTTGGAAACTGAGGTTACTGAGTATACAGAAGGGGTATATACATAGTAGATCAGGATTTCCAACTTCAGTGCTATTGATTGTTGGGGCTGGAGATCTCATTGCTGTATAGGGATAGTCTGTGCACTGTAAGATGGTTAACAGCATTAGTGATCACCAACTATTGGATTCCAGTAATATTCCCAGTTGTGAAAATGCAAAATATTACCCAATAACTCCCTTGGAGAGCACTATTTACTGGGTGAGATAAGAGTAGAGGAAAATAAAGGTAACAAATGGAGAGAAACAGAAATGGCAGAGAGTTTCTTACAGGTACAAAGCTATTTGAATTCTTCTTGTTTCTAAACCTCAAACATTTTCCTGCCCTTTCTACAATTTCATGAATTATGCCTAGTTAGCATAGTTTTGCTTTCTCCATTCATTTTTACTAAAAACATGAGTTATATATCTGTCATCATCAAACAAAATAGTTCTAATATGAAAGTAGATTATGGTAGATTAAGCATATTTTAAAAGATCATTTTCAATAGGACAAGATTAAGTTGCTAATGATATGTTCTTAGTCACTACCCCTCCCCCAATTTAAGCAACAGTAAGAGACTTTTATCAGATAAGCTAACGCTAAAATATACGTGTGGGCGGCAGACTCCTAGAATGACATTCACTGTAAATAGCACTCTGACCTCAGAATCAACTCTTAAGGTTTTCTGGTCTGGCTGAAAGGCCTGTGAGAGCATTTCAGGCATGGAAAGCCAAGACTCTGTGGCAAAATATTGTACACGAAGGATCTCTGTGAGACCTCAGTGGAAAGAAAGGACCATCAAAGAAGGTGGTACTTTTCTCTGAAGTGGGGAGAGAATATCCACTTTGGTTATGGTCATGTCCAAATACTGATGGAATCTATGGTCACAAAAGGCTTCCATAGCCTTGGCAGCCCATGGCAAGAGACTTGGGTGATCACTGACATCATAAATAAGAGTGTTAATTGTTAAAGGAACAATAGAAGTTACTAAGCACCTACTCTCCATGTAGGACCTCCATCTGTTATGAGTTGTACTATGAAAATTGACTGCAAAACTTGTTGTCAAACTGTACTCTACATGTTATGTGTGTGTGTGTGTGTGCAAACTGCTGAAATCTGTGCTTAACATGGAGTTGGTCCTCTGCATATAAAATCAAACTAAAAATGAACCATAATGAAGAAGGGGATGGGAAAGGGAGAGGGAGGTGAGATGGGAGTCTGGATGGGAGGGTGGGTATGGGAGAAAGAACCACTATGTTTCTAAAGTTGTACTTATGAAAAATACATTTATTAAATAAAAACTTAAAAAAGTAAGTGTGGGTAGGTGGTAGAATGGGGGGCAAGCATTTAGTGGGTAGAGGGATTTCCTTTTGCAATATGGGAAGAGTTCTGTGACCAGATGATGAGATGGCAGCCTGGTAGCACAACAATGTGATTGTACTTAATGCTATGGAGTTGTACATCTAAAATGTACCACCTTATGTCTCATACATGTGTATAATATCACAATTTTTTGAAAGGTTGGTGTGGGGAAGACAAAAGAAAGAAAAGGAAGATTTTGTTGAACCAGCTTTAGGTTATGTCTTCCTTGAGATGTTTACTGGGTAGCAATGGATCTTATAGCAAACACTACTCACAGTGTACAGTGTCCTGCTTTTATCCATAATGTGATGATTCCTTCAGTAGTTGCCCTTGAAGAAAATGTACTGAGGCACAGATGCAAACCTCTGAATGATTCTCTCTCAGTTCCTTTATGTTTTAAATTAATGGCTTAGCTCTCCTCCGGAGGCCTGTAGACCTGCAACTAACTGCAGTGAAGCTGACTTGGCCATATGTAGGTTTAAAGAATTTAGGAACCAGCTCTTGTCCTGATGGTTGATGTAAAATGTAATACTTTATCCATTTTAGTATTTTTTTTTTGTTCTAGTACCATTGGTTGAACTCTGTAATTAACACACAATTATTCTTAGGTGTTTAAATTTTAACTGAAAAGTGATCCCTGTTAGGAATTTGGAAAACATTATGCTGAGTGAAATAAGCCAATCCCAAAGGGACAAATACCACTTGTTCTCCTTGATAGGTGACAACTAACTGAGCACCAAAAAGGAAACCTGTTAAAGTGAAATGAACACTATGAGAAATGGTGACTTGATCAGCCCTCACCCTGACTGTTGATGAGCAACTTGATATGTTATCCCTCTTAGTATTTTTTTTGTTTGTTCTACTTAATACTTTTGGTTGAATACTGTAATCAATACACAATTCTTCTTAAGTGCTGAAACTTAACTGAAAAGTGATCGTTGTTAAATGTAAGAGTGGGAATAAGAAAGGGAAGAGATGTGCAATTCGGAACATGCTCAAGCTGACTTGCCCCAAATGGTAGAGTTAGAAACATACCAGGGGATTCAAATTCAATCCCATCAAGGTGGCATGTACCAATGCCATCTCACTAGTCCCAGTGATCAATTTCTGTTCACAATTGATCATAATGATAGGACTAAGAACCAAAGGGAGCACGTAAACAAGACTAGTGTCTGCAAATACTAGCTGATAGAATCAACAAGGGAGAGAATGATCCAACATGGGAAGTGAGATACACAGCAGACTCATAGAATGGCAGATGTCCTAAACAGCACTCTGGCCTCAGAATCAGCCCTTAAGGCATGCGGATCCGGCTGAAAAGCCCATGAGAGTATTTCAGGCATGGAAAGCCAAGACACTCTGGGGGAAAAAAAAAAAAAAAAAAACTAAATGAAAGATCTCTGCGAGTGAGATCCAAGTGGAAATATCAGGTCATCAAAGAAGGAGGTACCTTTCTCTGAAGGGAGGAGAGAACTTCCACTTTGACCATGGCCTTGTCTAAATATGATCAGATCAGTGAACACAGGGGGCTTCTATAGCCTTGGCATCTCATGACAAGAGCCTAGGGTGATTACTGATGCCATAAACAAGAGTGTCAATTTGTTAAGTCAACAACAGGAGTCACTGTGCACTTACTCCTCATGTAGGATCTCTGTCCTTAGTGTGCTGTACATTGAGATTTAATGCTATAACTAGTACTCAAACAGTATTTTTTACTTTATGTTTCTGTGTGGGAGCAAACTGTTGAAATCTTTACTTAATGTATGCTAAACTGATCTTCTGTATATAAAGAGAATCGAAAATGAATCTTGATGTGAATGGAAGGGGAGAGGGAGTGGGAAAGGGGAGGGTTGCGGGTGGGAGGGACGTTATGGGGGGGGAAGCCATTGTAATCCATAAACTGTACTTTGGAAATTTATATTCATTAAATAAAAGTTTAAAAAAAAGAAAAAAAAAAGAATTTAGGAATCTACATCTTGAAAAGAAGTTTGAAGTGATTCCCCCCACCCCAAATTTGGTTTTCTTCTCAAGATTAGGCATGGATCAACTATACCTAGAGACATTTAGGGCTATGTCATTAAAAACCAAGCACTTGCTCATTAGGAGTCTCCAATGTAGAACACGGATTGATTGCAATCATGAAGGGAAAACAGGTGTCCACAGGCAGAAATAGGTAAAAATGGCCCTGTCAGATCAGATGTGCTGTGAGGCCAAGGAAAAAGGAAGTCTTGCAAGAATCATGTGGTTGAGGTTAAGGGCATCTTATTTCATTCTGAATTCTTCCTGAAGTGTCCTGCTCTGTTAATGTAATTTGAAATTGAATTTATAATGCTAGATACATATCTTACAGATGAAACACAATATATATATATATATATATATATAAATTCATTGCTTTGAATGGCTGGTTAGAAACTATTTGCATCAATGAAAGTGAAAAATATTTAGGCTTTGATTGAAGCTCTTCGGTTTGGGGGTCAGGAGGCGAGAAGGTGAGGGTGATGAGGTAGATTTGTAAAGCTATATAAAGTTCCTTAACTCTTTAATCATTTAGACAGGTAGTCAATTTTCCCAGTAGAAGCTATCTCTTGCCCTTAAATTTGCCAGTGGAATTGGTGATTGGGTAATAAGGCTATCATAAAACTGTTAGCTCTAAGAGAAAATGGGTAAGACACAAAATTTTTATAAAAGCAGAAAGTGAAGTTAAGAAACCAAATGAAATATTCATCTGTTGCACTTAATCTTCTATAATATAGAATTGTATTAGAAATAACAGAAAACCTTTTTAAAAAATTTGTGTATTGAAAGGCAGTGTGATAGAGGAGACAAGAGAGAGCGAGAGCGATCGAGTGAGCGAGCTAGAGATCTTTCATCTGCTAGTTCACTCCCCCAAAGCGTACAATAACTGGGACTGGGCAAGACCAAAGCCAGGAGCCAGGAACTCCATGCAGATTTCCAACACAAGTGACAGGGAACCAAGCACTTGAGCCACCATTTTACTACCTCCTGGGGTGCACATTAGTATAAAGCCAGATTGGAAGCAGAGTAGCCAGGACTTGAACCAGACACATTTCTATTGGGATGTGGGCATCCCTAGGAATGGTTTAACCTGCAGTGCCACAATGCCTTCCCAAAGGAAAGGCTTTTGGACAATTGAAGTGTTTGCCATGCACTCAGTTTTAAACTATAGATATAAAATACATATTATGTAGTTTTCTCATCAGTCATGTAATGTACAAGGCTTGAAAAACTGATTGAGATTTTATTATAAATATCTTCTAGACAAAGAATCCTTAGCATGAATTTTGTAAGAAATGTTAGGGTGCATAAGGTGCTCTGTTATCTTAGTGAACAGATGGGAAACAGTATTGCATCCAAGGTTGTGTGGCCAGATGATCCATGTCGCATATTTGTTTTTATACTCTCTACCATTTCTCATAGCTTTAATTTGAAACAGTATGATGTTTTTGGTGAGATAGTTAATTAGCATATTTTAACGGTCAGGATATACAGTTTTTGTCATTGTCTTAATTATAAAAGTCCTTATGATGTGTTTCAAAGGAGATGATGCATATTTTATAAAAAGGACAGAGGTGTTGTGTGGTAGTGGGTGAGGCTGCCACCTGTGATGCTGGCATCCAGTATGGGTGCAGGGTCATGCCTTGGCTACTCTACTTCTGATCCAGCTCCCAGCTGATAGTCTGGGAAAGCAGTGGAAGATGACTCAAATGTTTGGGCCCCTCTACCACTGTGGGAGACCAGGGTGAAGCTCATGTCTTCTGGCTTCGACCTGGCACAATTCTGGCTATTGCTGCTATCTGAAGAGTGAACCAACAGATGGAAAATCTCTCTTTATCTCTGTCTCTCTCTTTGTCTCTCCCTATCTTTCTCTGCATTTCTACCTTTCAAATAAATAAATAAATTTTGAAAAAAAAAAAAAGACAGGCATCTATTTGTATAAGGTCAAATTTGTTTTCCATAACAGGTGAAAGAGGCCCGGGGAGGTTAAATGTTTGTTGTATCATAAACATCTTTGAGAATCTAAGATAACCATGGAATTTACCTTAAATACCTGGTAACTTTGAGAGAGCAAGAGGAGTTCAATGAATACTTAGGCTGAGAGAAGAAACATAATGGGGATTATCCCAGGTAAACTGGGGCTTTAATCATTTTAGAATTGGAAGAAAGTAATGGAAAAAAAGTGCTCATGTCTGCTTGCTACACACTTTTTATCCACCATTTTGCAGAATTCACATCTTCATACTAAGAACACAGGTTAAATGTATTCATCCAACAGTAATTTGCTGTTTGTCTACTTTGTCCTAAGCACTATTAGATGTTGGAGATGCAGCACTGCACAAAACTGAAACTTTTCTGCCCTCATGGGATTTATATTCTATTATAGTAGTCTGACAGCATGGGAGGCAGAATTCAACAGGTGGTCATCTAAGCTTGCCACCCCCTAGTTAGTCCATGGTACACTAATCTAGATATCTTTGTGAAGGGACTTTGTGGATGTAATTGAGGTTAAGGAGCTCAAAACAGGAAGAGTATCCTGGAATATCCAGGCACTCAGTCTAATCTCTTAAGAGAAATTTTTTT